GTGCAGGCACTGAGAGGGACACAGCCTTCCCTGGCTCTAACCCTAGGCTGTCTCTCTTTCTTCAGATCACCGCACAGCAGATTGCTGCTCAAGGCCAACCACAGAAGGTCACCTATGCCACCCAGCCAGCCCTTAAAACCCAGTTTCTTACCACACCCATCTCCCAGGCTCAGAAACTGGCTGGGACTCAGCAGGTGCAGACCCAGATCCAGGTGAGCCTGAGCCACTGCTCAGTGTTCCCTGCTTCACTTAGGTTTTGGAACTGGGCATTCCTTACTTCCTGCAAGTGTATCGATGTATTTAAGGTGCCGTCTGAGCTCTGTCCAGGGTATCTTGGTTCTTTCAGTGGTGCACACATCTCAGTGCTGGCCGCTGTGCCCAGGAGGCTGAGCAGGGACAGTTTTATATTTTAAGATACAGTAAACTAGTAAATGCCTTCTGGTTTTAATGTTCATAGAGAGGAGCTTTGTCATTTGTAAGTATGTGTATTTCACATTGTCTCCAGAGTTTTCTTGGACAAGACTTGTTTTCATCCCTGTTCCACGAGTTAGAGACCTGAAGGGGGTTGGGGTCGGGTCACAGCCCCCAGCAGCTGCCACTCGGGGCTGTTCAATGAGCCAGTGCCCCACAGCCCAGAGTACACAGGTGGCAACTGCACAGTGGTGGAACATTTTGTTTGTACAGAGAGAAAGCTCTCAGTGATGACTAAAGGAAAAAATGGTGAAATAACCTCTTTAAAATGTGGGTGCACCTCTTGACTAGAACTGAACTTTGGGGTCGGCCTGAATCACTTCACTGGTGGGGGCCCTCCTGGGAGTCTGCCCAGACTTGAAGGAGGGACTCTCTTGAGATCTCGTGAAATGCTGAAGTATTTATTCCATCCTTAATTCTCTCCTATAAACTTGGATCAGTTTTTAGTAAAAGAAAAAACTTTACTATATAAAGTATGTGACCAAAAATAAGTTTGAAGTGACACATGGTTGCAGGTTAGGAAGGTGAGCTAATGGAGCCAGGTGAGCACACTACGAGAACGGCTCTTTTCTTTCATCTGGCCACTGTGGTGGTGTTCTTTAATAATTGAGAAGAAAAGGAATCTGTTTGTGGGTACATTTTTCTGAATTCTGCATTTGCCTTTTTTTGTTTTGTCAAAGGTTGCAAAGCTCCCTCAAGTTGTGCAGCAGCAGACACCTGTGGCTGGCATCCCACAGGTCGCCTCTGCTTCCCAGCAGGTAGGTGCACAGATGGGCAGCCACCTCGGAAGTTTCCACGGGGGCTTTTCAGTAACATTCCTGTTTCCCAGATTGAGGGGGTTCCTTAGGAAGTAGAATTTAATTACTAGAGTCACTTCTGGTTTTCATAACACAGGACAATAACAAACTCAGCATCAAATGTACCAAAGGAGTTCATTTCTAGGATCAGTGCTCCAGTCAGTAATGTCAGGTGTGTCCCAGAGGCTGGAGCTGCCACACTTTCATTGCAGGGAAACTAAAGGTATAAACACGGCTGGAACAGCCACAACTCGCCTTCCTTGTAGAGCTTGGCGGGCAGGCTGTGACATTCTATTTGCTGCTACAACACATGTCCGTATGCAAGTGGTGCTTCACACGTTTTTATTCTCAGAATCACGCTGGCATGTGGATTTCAAACCAGATACAACTGACCCTTGAACAAGGTGGGGTTTAGGGCGTGTACCATCCAGCAGTTGAAAATCTGTGTATAACTTGTTTGCCCTCCACATAACACCCACTCCCAACCTGTGCCTGTTGACCCTTGCACCATGTGGGTTCGAACTGCGCTGGCCCATTTATGCAGATTCCACGTGTACGTTCAAACCCAGGTGGTTCAGGGGACAGCTGTAGTAGTCAGGGCTGACCACCACCGTCAGTCCTGGTCCTCAGCCCTTGCCCTCCCGAAGGCATCCAGGTTAGCCTAAAAGCCGCAGTGCTTTAGTGTTCTACTTTTGTTGGGTTAGAAACCAGAGGTCGTATTTCAGTATGTTGGGTAATTTCCACATTTCACAAAAGAATTCATGCTAATTAGGTTTCTTAAACCCCCTACTGGCCCTGAAGAGTGTTGGATTTGTCATGGTGATCACTTGATCTGCATTTTCTAGGTGATGTGTGTTTTCTGTTTTGGCTCAGGCTTCCCCACAGACGGTGACCCTCACCCAGGCGACGGCGGCTGGGCAGCAGGTCCAGATGATCCCCGCAGTGACCGCAACTGCACAGGTGGTCCAGCAGAAACTCATGCAGCAGCAAGTTGTGACGACGGCAGCAGCCCAGCTACAGACCCCTGGTGTCCCCAACCCCGCACAGGTGCCAGCCAGTGCCGACAGCCCAAACCAGCAGCCCAAATTACAAATGCGAGTTCCTGCCGTCCGCTTAAAGACACCCACCAAACCTCCATGCCCCTAGTCAGGAAGGCGTAGGCCTCGGCCCAGCCACCAGGCATTTCACCATCTAGCCAGAACTGTAGGTGTTATTGAACCTCAGGATGGTGTTGTGTGAGGTGTTGGCACCTGCACAGCTGCAGCTGCAGCGAAGCAGTGGAACCACAGTGGTGCTCCCGTGGGCCGCCACCTCCGTGAGACCAACAGGAGACGCGGCAGCGGCAGTTCCTCTGCGTCCTCCGCCCCTCCAGCCTCCTCCAGAGCAGCAGGGCTGGGTTTGAGCCTGTGGGACCCACCAGTGCCCATGTCTGCCCATCTCGGGGCTGCTTGGAATGTGCAGTGAGTCATAGTGACTCCTGAAGCCACATGGTCTGTGACAGCAGCCATTGCTTGGTTTTTATATCCAACCGAAAACATCATGGTCCTTCAAGCAGAGAGGTCTCTGAGGTCAGTCATCTCAGATCCAAGACAGCCAGTGGGCTTCTTCCTTCTCCTAAAATGTGACTTGTAACTTTTATAAAGGAATCACTTGGTACTGGTGCCTGTCGGAGCACATTTAGGACACGTCCCCAGCTTGTGTGGAGGAACGCAGAGATTGAACTTCCATTCCAAAGGTCAGCCAGTGCGACTTGTTTCTCTGTAGGTGGGACCTTCCAGCCTGCTCCCATCCCAGCACCCCCACGATCCTGGCCCAGCGTTGGGAGTGAGTGTGCTGAAGCAGCTCCAGGAGCTTTATGTGTCTTCTTTCTGGATTAGTTGGGGCCCAGAGGACGGGCAGGTGCTGCTGTTACAGGTGTCACCACTGAGTGCATGGTGTGGGGTCCATTGAGAGCAGAGGTGGCTGTCATCGTTTCCCTTGCTCATGCCCAGCCCAGGTGTCTGCAGAGCTGAGAAACCTGCTCAGCAGGGTGGTCGGCCTATGGCAGACTCTTTCTTATAGACTTGAGACCGCAGACTGCTCTGCCAGGGTCTCGCACGTGAGCAGACACGCTCCATTGTGGTTCTGTGCAAAGCGGTGAACTGTCTGTGCAGTTTCAAGGAGCCCATGGTTGAGGGGCAAAGAGGCAACCCCATGTTCGTACTTTCTATTTTTACTTCGGCAAGGTAATGAGCGACTGCAGTGGACTTGGCTGGCTGATGTCCGCCTACCTGGCAGTGTTCACCAGCACAGGGTGCACGTCCGAGGACACCCTCTCCACTCCATTCTTCTGCTCCTCTGACTCACTGGGTCCCAGTTGGGTTCTGTTAGGTCTGCGTGTGCTAAGGATGATTTGCAGCACTGAGATTTTTAATTTTATTTTTATTTACTCCCCTCCCCAATGTACCACTATAAATGACAGGAAGGACCATCTTCTGTCCTGTAGTGTTGATTTCCATTGGTTTACGTGGACAGTGATATGGCAACTCTTGGAGAAGCCAGTGGGGCAGCTCAATTTTGCGTTGAACATAGGAAAACAGAGGACTGTTAACCAAGCCTGTTGGTTCTGGTTTGGCACAAGCTGGCATGTGGGGCAGCGCTATGAGTGTGCCCTGCCCCTGGTTCCCGGGAGACTGCCTGCTCTCTCTACTCGTGTGCAGAACTACATGCGTTTCAGTCCTGTTTTCTTGGCTTATTTTATCGTGCACCCTGTTTTGTCCCCGCTTAGATGAAATGTCGATGCACTTACTTAGACCGCCCTCAACAGAGCAGCCACAGCCAGTTTCCTACTCACACAGAGCCCAGCAGGGAATGACATTGTGTGCAGCTGCAGCCGCTTAGGTGCAGAGGGCGAGTCTCACCTGGGAAGTGTGCTTGCTTCGGCGACGCCCCGATGCAAAATGTGGGACAGAAGCGTTTTCTTGTACCACCTGGTTTAGTAACCTCAGATGTCACCACTGACCTACTTGTCTTCAGTACCGTTGCTTAGGTAAAAATTCTCCTTCCAAAATAGCCTCAAGGGTTACTTTCCACATTGAAGTTAGTTCAGGAGGCAGTTTCCCAGGCCTCCTCCCGTCACTGCTGCTAGGACCTCACTGCCTGGGAACCAGGCTACTGCCACACACTGAACGACAGGAAGAGCAGGACTGTTCAACCCAAACTGGCCACCACGGGAGCAGTTACCCTTGAAGGGAGGAACGTGTGTGCTGAGGAAGGCTGGGCTGTTTCCAAAGCATCCCCGGAGGCAGGAGGCAGGTCCACACACACAGACTTGGTGCCTGGTGAGGCTCCCCTCTCCCAGTCCTTACGGTTTTTTGTTAAGTGTTGTAATCAGATAGCTGTTGTGTTTTAAAGTTTAAAAGGAAGGAGAATGGAAATGTAAATACTTTGTAAACATAGCCATTGGTACTTGAACAGTAGCATTTTAAAGGGCACTGATACCCGCCACACAGAGGGTGTAATAAAATGATTTTTTTATATGTTTTTTCATCTTGTCGTTCATAGAAAACTAGTTAAAGGTGATGCTAGTTGTGCTTATCTCAAGCACTTGACAAAGGGCTCCCTGTGGTTCCCCAGCAGGTCTTGGATGCAGGTGACGCTCACAGGAGCCCAAGTGCCTGGCTCTGGGTGGGGAGACCTGAAATGCAAGCCCAAGGCTGCAGCCCTGGCAGCCACCGATTTCTCAACTCTGTATTCAGGTGTTTTTTCCCTCAGTCTGGGGAAAATCCCTTTAATCAGCCTTTTGGTTCAAAGGCAAAGCCAGAATTCCATTCCAGAGTGGGAACGTTCAAGAAATCAGAGCAAAGCCTTCCCTCAGACAAGTGAAAGCAGGGTGTCGAGTCCTGTCAGAGCCACCTGTTGGGTCCCCTCACAATCCAGGTTCCCGCAGCCCCAGAGAAAGTAACACAGCAGCAGGTCATCACCCCCTCCCCACAGGCCTTGGGTTCCCGGAAGGCTCCACCCACAGCCAGAGTCTAGATGCAGCCCCACCGTCGGGTTCCAGCCCAGCTAAGGGAAGCAGCCTGGTGGTAGCAGAGAGGGTCCTGCAGAAGCACCACACAGATGTCAGGCAGCTCACTAGGGGCTGTGTCCAGGCGGGTGCTACCCCCGGAGGAGGGTGCACACAGCTTGCCATGGCAGGAAGGCCCGTAAGCCCCAAGCTCCGTCCCGTCTGCCCTTGGAGGCCCTGCCTAGGCTGCCTTCTGCCTCCATTCTTCCTGTGGGAAGAGAGGAAGAGCTCGGCTCGTCTACCCTCAGGAGTGCCACACAGCCCAGCCTCCCAACTCTGAGTGGAAGAAAGGCCAGCACTAACCCAGCAGGCGCAGCTCTGGCCCAGCACCCCTCCAGGGCCACGTGCCTCCACCCCAGAGCCCAGGGTCTCCTGCCCTCCAGCTAAAAGGTAAACCCAGGGTCTCATCTCCCCTTCGTCCACATGTCCCTAGAACCGCAACAGGCCCCTCACCTTGACAGCCCTCTCTAGCTGGGCCAGGGCCGCCTCATACCGCGGGACCAGCGGCTGCAGGAGCTCGCTGGGGGTGTTGTGCCGCTCCAGCTCAGGCACCCCAGCTTCAGTCAGCATCTGGAGGAACCTTTTTTCCTGGAGGAAGCATGCCGAGTTCTGGGAACAGCTCCCATCCTCCCCGACCCCCACCTTGCAGATCTTTGCCTGACCTGCACTTTCAGAAGTAGCGTGAAGGCCTGTCCGGTTTTTCCAGCACGAGCAGTTCTTCCAACCCTGAAGCCAAGCACAGACTCCTCTAGAGTGAGGTCCCCCAGCCCTTCATGGGTCCAGTAGAATGGCAGTCCCCCTCCCCACCCCATCTAAGCCCCAGCACAGCCCTCACCGGTGCACATAGGTCCGCAGGTACTGGGGGGCATCGTAGTTGACCACCAGCTGCACACCATGCACGTCTATGCCGCGGGCGGTGGCATCAGTGCTGATGAGGCTGTTAGGATACGCCGCGTTGTAAGAACTGCCTCAGGCCAGAAGCTGGGACCCCCCCCATTAGGGACCCTCTCATGGAGTGAGGCGGCAAATCCTGCCGAAAGCGCCCTTCGGGGGGCCAGGCAGATGCCGGGAGCGCACCCTCCCCGGGCACTCACAGCTGAATCTTTCCCTGTTCAAACTGCTTCAAGATCATCTTCCTCCGGCCAGGCCCATAGCGGGAGGAGAACTCAGCCACCGTCACACCCCCAAAAGCCTGGACTAGCAGGAAGAGCCTGGAAAGAAACGGCCGGGTGGGCTGGGGCCAGCACCAGCCCATCCCCCACCCTCACCTGCCCGGCCTCACCTGTGGGAGTTCTCCCGGGAGTTGGTGAAGCAGAGGACCCTGGAAAAGCTCATGTGCAAGACCAGGTGCAAGACAACCAGCGGCTTGGAGCGCAGGCTGCAGGGCACATAGTGGTGCTGTGGGGACAGCACAGGGTTGGCCCGGCCCCGAGAGCCCAGACAGGACCCTCCCCAACCTGTGCGCCCAGCTCACCGAGAGCCCTTCAGGGAAGGTGTACTTCCCACCCAAGTCCACCTCCGTGTCCATGTCAGCATCCCTGGGGCCCCCACCAGCTGGCCGTGTGGAGAAGAGCCGGGGCTGGTACAGGCCCAGCTGCTGCAGCTTCTCTGGGTTCTGGGTCAGGGTGGCCGAGAAGAGCAGCTTCTGTAGTGGCATCTGGGGACAGCAGATGCTGAAAAGGGGGAAGACGCTGGGGGAGCAGCCTTGGCTTAGCCGCCACCCTTCTGACCCAAACAGACCAGACCAGGTGCCCCACCCAAGGCAGAGCAGAGCCCTGGACTAGGTACCTGGCAGCAGTGATGACCTGGGGCTGCCTTCTCTGGAGCAGAGCAAAGGGGTCCTTAGCACCCTCACTAGGGAAGGCTGCTGCCACCACCCGAGGGAGCCAGGACTGGTGCATGCTGTCTATCATCCGGTCGGCCTCATCGATGACCTACAGGAGACAGGAGACCAGGGCTCTGGTGGGTGAGGCTGGCATCAGCTCTGAGCCTGGGCCTCCCTCTGGGCAGGTGGGCCACCTACCAGGAAGCGGAGGTGCTGCAGGCTGAACCCCGGGGTTTGGTCGATGTGGTCCACTAGGCGGCCCGGAGTGGCCACCACGATGTCGGCCAGGCAGCGGAAGCCATCTGCTCTGTGGAGCAGAGTAGCTCAGCAGGAGTCCCACACTGATCCCCAATTCAAGGAGCCTGTGGGGCCCAGGGTCCACACAGGGCTGTGCTCCTCCTGTACCAGCCGCCCCACAACCCACGGCTCAGCAGGACCTACGTCTTCTGGATGAGGCTCTCCTGCTCTTTGGCCAGTGGCTTCTGCCCAGTGACCAGGGCGACACGCAGAGGAGTGGCATCTATGTAGACGTTAAACACTTTGCTTACCTGGAAGAAGACAGGTATTACTGGCCTGACCAAAGGCACCACACCAGTGACAAGGACTCTGGGGCGACCCCCAAGCACAGGGTCCACATACCTGCTGGGCCAGCTCCTTGGTGGGCAACACAACCAGGGCACGGACCTGGCACACAGCTCGCTGCAGCAGGGCCTGTGGGGCAAGGAGGGCGACCTGTGGGCAGGGCCGGCTTCCTGCCCACCAGCCTGCTTGGAGGGTGGGGCCCTCACACTCACCTGCACCACAGGGATGACAAAGGCCAGTGTCTTTCCACTGCCTGTTGGGGCAGAAACACACAGGTCCCTGGGCTGGTAGCCGCCTCTGCCCGTGAGAAACCCGTTGGTTGTGCTCTCTAGGAGAGTGGGAATGACCGCTGCCTGGACTGGACAAATGGAAGGTGAGGCTGGTCAGGTTTGTGCAGGAACCAAAGCCAATCTGTGACCTCCAGGCTGGGCTGCTCCCCC